AAGGAAACGACGGTTGCTGCGTACCAATGAAATGAATGAACATTAGTTGTCTATCGAGAACATAAGTTACTACTATCGGGAGTGTGACTCCAAACTTATGTCTATGATAGAGTGTAATATTAGACCGAAAACGACATGAAAAAATTGGAACGAACTCACTTGAATCAGGAAAATTGTACGTCATTGGATAATAAAAATAATCCAGTGAGTTTCGAATATGATAACGTGTAATGTCCAAATAATTATAATTTGTTCGATTAGTGATTTGTCTGCGTATATGTCATAGTTCAATGTTAATACGAACAAAATAATAATTCCACGTTAGATGATGATATGACATTATTGTAATAATGAGCGTATGATGATTATTAGAATTAACGAAATATGTCGTCGGCGGTTTCATTTTTGATTTGTGTTCACTCGTTGCGGTTGCCGATTCTGTCGCGTGTTCCAAATACGGCGTGCCAATTATGTTGTGAGTTCGTACGTCGAGGTTGTCGATTCTGGTCGATGTTCGTTCGGCGAGACATCCAATTATGTTTTCGCGTTCGTAAGTCGGGATCGCTAATTGTGTTGCGTGTTCGTACGTCGGGATTACCAGTTTTGTAGTGCCGTGCTTCGATCATAGTTCGCTTCGATAACCGTTATTAATACCAATCTTAACGGTGTATAATATCAGAAGGCAAAGGGAAGCGGCAACTACATTTTTATTGATAATCGATGCAGACCAGAAAGTTGTAAGCACATGAGCAACTGTAAGCAAGCGAAGCAAAGATGATGCGTATTGGAGATGGCTGGGAAGCCAACTCATTTTAAGCAAGCGTTAACTAACATTTATAGGCAGGCAAAAATGAGTGACAGACATATGATGAATAAGATACGAAGTGTACACATATGCGCTCATATAAAAAGTACTCAAGGTTAATAAGCAAATGATTAACAAGATCAAAAGATGACTCAATGTACAGGTGAATTGGCTTGGCCAGTAACTAGAGTAAAGTATATGGGCCTAACATATGAACTGGTACTACACTATAAATACACGAGATTTCTGCGCTATATTTTGACATTGTTCGGGGCAATAAACTTCCTGCTTACCAGACTTTGTCTTCTCTCTTTGCGACGTTGCGGGTTCTATCGTTCAAGTAGTCAAGTAGTTCGCGGCATATTAAGAATCAAGGCTCTAGATATAACAACTGGCGACGGGTTAATTTATCAAGATGTCTATTACCTTTGACCAATTTGAAGCTTTTCTAGAGCGCCATGAAAACGGCTTGAACAATTCCAGATGCGCATACTCGAAAAACTAACCCAGCAGATGAACCTCAATAAGAATGGACTTACAGATGTTTCTGCCAAATCGCATGCTGATTGTATCATTGATTCCTTTCACGAATTTCATTTTGATGGTGTTGCTGGTGTAACATTCGAATCTTGGTACAAGAAATATGAAGATGTATTTAATGTCGACCTAGAAACTTTTGATGATGCCGCCAAGGTCAGGGTGCTACTACGAAAGCTGGGTACCATTGAACATGAACGATATACTAATTACATTCTGCCCAAGAACCCAAGAGACATTTCATTCGAAGAAACAGTTAAAATTCTGTCGCAAATTTTCGGTGAACAGTCTTCCTTGTTCAATATTCGATATCAGTGCTTGAAAATAGTAAAAGCCGGCAATGATGACTGGGTGCAACATGCTAGCATAATAAATCGCGAATGTGAGCGCTTTAAACTATCAGCAATGACAGAAGATCAATTCAAATGTCTTGTTTTCGTATGCAGCTTACAATCTTCAGAAGACGCCGACATTAGAACCAGAATTCTAAGCAAAATTGAACAGTGTCCAAATATCACCCTTCAAGAGGTGACTACTGAATGTCAGCATCTGGTAAACTTGAAGCATGACACTTCAATGGTAGAAAATAATGGTCGACTACCTTATGTACAGGCAGTAAGTGGGAAGCAAAAGCAGAACACAACCATTAAGAAGCCTCCATCCGCATGTTGGTTTTGCGGTGAGCTGCATTACAAAAGGTTCTGCCCATACAAAAACTACCGGTGCACTAGATGTCAGCTCAAAGGACATAAAGAAACATGTTGTAAAAAGAAGATGCACCGTCGATCATCAAGTGTTCATTTCCGAAGACGTAAAAATTGTTCATCAATCAATAGAATAATGGTAGCACATACTAGAACAGAACATAATCGAAGAAGATATGTGACCTTAGAGATAAATGGGCGCCGTGCTCGTCTACAGCTTGACACTGCTTCAGATATTTCACTGATCAGCCGCAAAACATGGAGTCATATTGGCAAACCCTCAGTGCTCCCTACAACCCAGTTAGCACACAGTGCATCTGGAGGAAAGTTTAATATTGTTGGAGAGATATACTGTCCAGTTAAAAAAGGGAATGTACAGAAGAATGTGAAAGTATATCTCACGGAAAGCCCAGGACTAGACTTATTGGGACTTGATCTAATAGAAACTCTTAAGCTAGCAGATCATTCTATTAATAGCATCTGCAAACGAGTGACTATTGACAACTCCTCAAGGTGTAACCAGAAAAGTACCGTGCCGCAAAGACATCACAACGTTTTTAAAGAAGAATTGGGAGAATGTACGAAGGCCAAAGCTTTGTTAATCCTCAAACCTGGTGCTACTCCCGTTTTTCGACCCAAAAGACCTGTGCCCTACGCAGCTCTACCGATTGTTGAACAAGAATTAGAACGACTGCAAAAAAGTGGAATTATAGAACCAGTGAACTTTTCTGATTGGGCAGCTCCAATACTAATTGTTAAAAAGCCTAATGGAAGTATTCGATTATGTGCAGACTATTCCACTGGATTAAATGACGCACTTGAAGATCATCAGTACCCCTTACCATTACCAGAAGACTTATTTGCGAAACTTAACGGGGGTAAGTATTTTGCAAAACTAGACCTATCAGAAGCATATTTACAGATTCCAGTAGCGGAAGAATGCAAACATTACTTGACAATAAACACTCATAAAGGGTTGTTTCGATATAATAGACTTCCGTTTGGAGTAAAGACTGCCCCTTCAATCTTTCAACAAGTTATGGATACTATGCTACAAGATATTCCTGGTACTGCGGCCTATCTTGACGACATACTGATCATGGGTACAGACTATGCTGACCTGGAGAAGAAGGTAGATATGGTTCTCAGACGCATAGCAGATTTTGGGTTTACATTACGTGCTGGAAAATGTGATTTCTACATGGAACAAGTCCGCTATTTGGGATTCATAATTGATAAAAACGGAAGAAAAGCTGATCCTGAAAACGTCGAGGCTATCAAGTCCATGCCTCCACCAACTGATGTGTCAACTTTACGCTCTTTCTTGGGAATGGTTAGTCATTATGGAGTTTTTCTTCCAGAACTGCATCGCCTTCGTGCTCCTCTTAATGGGTTGCTGAAAAAAGATACCAAATGGTTCTGGTCATCTGAGTGCCAAGAAGCTTTCGTAAAACTAAAACAGCTCCTGTCATCAAACCTTCTACTCACACACTATGATCCAGAGCTTCCCATCATAGTCGCAGCAGATGCGTCCAACTACGGAATCGGCGCAGTGATCGCACATACCTACCCAGACGGGTCTGAGAAGGCAATCGCCCACGCTGCACGGTCGCTGACTATGACAGAAAGAAACTATAGTCAGATAGAAAAAGAGGCCCTCTCTATTATATTCGCAGTAAAGAAGTTCCACAAGATGCTATTTGGCAGACAATTTACCCTACTAACAGACCATAAACCACTGCTGACAATTTTTGGATCGAAAAAAGGTATACCTGTATATACAGCAAACCGTCTACAGAGATGGGCAACGACACTACTGGGCTATGATTTCAAGATAAAGTACCAACCAACAACAGATTTTGGACAGGCAGATGCCCTTTCAAGACTAATTAGTTCCCGTACAAAACAAGAAGAGGAGGTGCTCGTGGCTGCCGTAGATGTTGAGGCCGAGGTTCACACAGTATTAACAGACGCAGTTTCCGGACTTCCAGTCACATTCGAAGCTATTAAAGGAGCTAGTGAGAAAGATAACGTGTTGAAGTTTGTTCGCCGCTGCATACTCAACAAGTGGCCTTCGTCGAGACTAAATGGAGAACTCTTGCAATTTTTCCGTCGACGAGACTCATTGACAATTGTAGATTCCTGCATCATGTTTGGCCACCGTATCGTTATCCCCAGAAATCTTCGAAACCAAGTCCTTAAGCAGTTCCACAGCGGACACCCGGGGATAAGTAAAATGAAGTCGTTAGCTCGAAGCTACGCATACTGGCCATCAATGGACCATGATATAGAGCAAAAATGTCGCAGTTGTTCGCCCTGTTTAGAGGCCGCAAAGAACCCAAATAAAGCTGAACCGCAACCATGGCCAAAACCAGACGGTCCCTGGCAAAGAATACACGCTGATTTTGCCGGCCCAATACAAGGCAGAAATTACTTGGTTGTTGTCGACGCCTTCACGAAATGGCCAGAAGTATACGACATGCCGAAAATGACGTCAGAGAGTACTATAAGAAAATTGACAGGTTTGTTCGCTTGTTTTGGGGTTCCTGAGATCTTAGTGACTGACAACGGCACCCAGTTCATGTCATCTGTCTTTAAACGGTTTTGCACTGAAAATGGCATATCACATCTACAGTCTCCCCCGTACCATCCTCAGTCGAATGGCCAAGCAGAAAGATTCGTGGATACTATAAAACGAGCTCTAGTTAAAGGGGGAGGAGAGGCCATCCCAGAACAAGTAATCAGCAAGTTCCTTTTGTCTTACAGAGTTACCCCCAATCCGGCAGTACCCGAAGGTAAGTCACCAGCCGAGTGTATGTTCGGAAGGAAAATTCGAACAATCTTTAGCAGTATGTTGCCACCTAGAAAGACAAGAAAACCCACGAATGGAAACCATATGGTCACTCGTAGCTTCAAGGTGGGTGAAAGGGTACTCGTTAAATCGTATCAAGGTGGAAAAAGGTGGGAACCAGGTATTATAGAACGTCGAATCGGAAGCGTATTGTATTTAATCCGAAGAAATGTCGGTACTTGTATAAGACACATCAATCAAATTCGAAGGGATGGCAGAACATGGATGCCACAAAGCCGGCTCCCATTTCATTTGCTCATGGATTCGTCTCCAAAAAGCACTCAGGCGCGCGAAGGTAGAAAAGATAAAAGACGCAAGAGCAAGGCGACACAACCTTCGAGAGTAATGAGTCGCAAGAGAATTGCGGTAACTCAACTCCAGGTGGATCCGAGAAAAAGGACTTATACAACAGACTTTAAAGGGGGGAGGTGTGAGGATGGCCCACAGGTGAAGTCGCGGAGGCTCTAGGAAGCCCAGGAAGAGCCGCAGACATTCCATCCAATCAGGGCTAGGGGAATGTTCTAGAAATGCCAACGTGGAGCTTCTCCATTGGATGGATTAGTTTGATACCTATGTGCTTATTGGTTGACCTAAATGATAATTTACTTTCAGCCAAAAACTATAAATACACGAGATTTCTGTGCTATATTTTGACATTGTTCGGGGCAATAAACTTCCTGCTTACCAGTCTTTGTCTTCTCTCTTTGCGACGTTGCGGGTTCTATCGTTCAAGTAGTCAAGTGGTTCGCGGCATATTAAGAATCAAGGCTCTAGATATAACATTGATATAATCTTGTTACTACTTATTGTTCAGCGAAATAGAAAGTTCATTTTATTAACTACATACTGATACTTATCTGAAGAAGAAGAATAGAAATAAATGTATAACCAAATGATTTACAATAAATTTATTCGATAAAAAAATCCCTTCAATACATCCATTCATTATTTAGATTATAATGAAATGACATTTTTTGTGGTAGGCAAGGATTATATTTTGTTGGTCCTGGATTAAGTAAAGCATCAATTCCACCAGGACATGTAAGTGAAGAACTATTTGCAACCATATCACCAATGCCAAGAGCAAGTGGAACATTTGGCATTGTCCAGCGTGGTACATTGGATAGGAAAACTGAACTAGACATAAAATGTTTTGGTATTAGTTCAGTTGTGATATTATATGTCCCTGGACCAGGATAATTTTCGTGATCTTTATTCACAGTTTTCAAAGTTATCATTGATGAACTTGATCTAATTACGGAAAAAAACAATGTATCATGGTGATATTACTTAGGATAAATCTAATTGGAAAATTTAGGCATTTTACGAACATGATAAGTTAAGTTGAAGGTGGATTTCAGCGACCGTTAGATAGTTAAACCTTCAATCTGTAATTGTGATGAAACACTTAGCGTTGATTCCCTGCCCATCGAAACATGTTTACATGAATAGATTTCAAGACCTATCACAAAGTCTGTTCATATGAGTTTGATGTTGTACATAACTTGAAATATACTTGGAAAAATAGTTCAAATGTAATCATATATAGTCATCTAGTCAAATATAAATATACATGAATGAAGTTAAGCTGTTTTATGAACGCAGCTGTTATATAAGGCAAATATATCTATATAAAAGTATCAGCTAAAATCAGTTTAATAGATTGCACAGCCACATGGATGTATAATTTATTCATTTAATACTAAACACCGAAAAGGCTGAGTGATTACTGAAACAAGTACATTTGGGATAACTCAATCCGTGTGGAGTAAATTTACTCCTATATATAATAATTTTTTTAAACTTAATTTGTCGAAAGAAATCGATGTTTAACACTGTTGTACAACACAAAATAATTGTTTCTATCGGGATTTCTCAGACATGATCAAAAATGATTCTTCCCGATAAGTATAATCAAATATAAGGTTCTTGTACGTCAACAACTTCCCGTAAAATGCATCCGATTACACAACTTCAGATCAAAATGATAGACTTTCCAATTTTGTTCAGTCACTCATCATTGGATTATAAGTACGAAACCGGTTATCGTTCCAATAAACGATTAGTGATTCGTAAGCAGTAGCTTTATAAATTGATGCTGTTAGAAATTATACATTTTAATCAAGTTTCAACGGGAAAATGGAAGATGCTTCCAATAAATGAGAACGGGGTCTATGCGACTAGATAGACAAAGCGATTGAGTTGGGTAAACTTTAACAAAAACTCGACTTGTCATATCTTCAGCCAAATGAAACGGTACTTGACTTTAACACATAGCTTACTTTGTTGGAGGTAATTTAGTTAGTTTTAAATTTGAGTCATGATATTTGACCAAATTATATGCTCCTGGTCCAGGAAACTAAATTTATGAAAATAGAAAGAAAGTTATATGAAGCATATAATCGAAAATTTAAATTCACTAATTAACTTACGTCTGATGTAGTTCTTAATGTGGAACGTTCACTTTTAGATGCAAAAGCCGAGTGGGGTAAATTAGATTGATTCTGTTTCACATCAATATCATAGTGTCCTAGACAGTAGCAACAAAGACGAATGGTAGATTCTTTAGTTATCTAGGTTGAATTGTAAATTGACAGTATACCACGAGAAAATAAGACAGAATATACTAAACTTACTAGGTTAATTCTTGGATGTTCACTAAGGATGATTCTTTATTAGCAATGTCGTACAGAATACTAACTATTAAGTACAAAGTGTATCAGTTGTCACACCGTGTAAATTTTGTTGCAAGTGCTAATTTTCCGTCCCTCTCGATAAAATGTGCACTGTTTGTCAACTTGTTAACTTTGACTCCTCGTTCTAACTAAAATTGCAACGGCAAATCAGAAATAAATGATACCTATGCGAAATACGGTAATAATACTGTAATGTTTTGAGACAAACTGATCTGTCAGAGTTGTGACCCGAAACTAAGTGTTGATCACTGTGTTTGCTGACTGAAATACTCCTACCTGCTACTTATTGCATCGGAACGAGACTGCTCTGTTGACGTAAGAAAGAAAGAAGACTAGAAACAGACTGATTTGCTTCCAAACTACTAATTAAACAACATCCAGAAATAATGTATTAACTTACATACCACTTTAAGTGTTTAGGTCAACCAAGAAATATGAACAAATCGAACTAGTAGTTAACCAGTAATATAAACTTGCAAAATCAATGAACTAACTGACTTGACTAGGAAATACCATTCGTCAATAAATTATTTGTCTTGTTCCTAATGAACAGACTGGACAGTAGGACTGAGCCCTTGATAGATACCCTAGGTAGTAGACTGAGTACACTGGATCATGTTACTAGGTAATTAGAGCAGTAGACTAGATCACGGAACGAGCAGATATACAATTCAGACGAATGATTGAGAACCAAGCTAAAGAGACAGAACAAGTGATTGTTCAGTCTAATTGCAAGCAATCTGCATGTATTGAAACCCAAATTTTAATTCGGAGTTACGATATGAAGATAGTGATTAGTGTGATAGGTCGTAGGGTGAGTCTGTCTCTGTTCGCTTAGAAAGCAATTACGGCCCACAACAGAAATAGTCTTCAAACGTAAATTACTTCTGAACTAAATTCTTACCGGAAAACGTTGACCTCATTACGTAGGTGTCTCCAGATCTGTTAATTATTTTCCAGCTTCAGTCCATGATAGCTTGTGCTGTACTATTTACTGATAGTAAGTCGTTTGAGTTGAGTCAATTGCTTATGTGTTTAATCTGTTGAATGGAAACCCTATTTGTTTTTATAAGCATAGAAGGGTGGTGGCTAGCAGTGGAATCCAGGATGCGCATTTCGTCCTATTTGGGACTCGTCAGCTGGATGTGCCTGCATTCCAGAGTAGATATTCACTCTGGGACTCGAACCCAGTACCGTTCGCTTCAAATCCATCGCGTTATCCACTTAGCTACTGAGTCCTGATACCCACTAGGTTGTGCAATGAGGTTATGTTTTTATTCATGTTGTACTGTTTATTTCAATCTTCTCATTGATGTTTAGGATTGTAATAAAAAAATACAACATGAATAAAACTAAACCTGACGAGTCTCAAATAGGGCTAAATGAGCTGGAGGTGGACAGGGCGCACATTGCGGGAATCCTTAAACTGCTTTGCGTGGTAAGCCTCAACTTGGAATTCCCAGTTGCTAAAGGAAAAGACGCAGACCAAAGAACACATTGCTCTTGGAATTGGAGTCAGGAATCAAAAGAACGATTAGCACTTGAAAATTGGGAAGTTGAAGGTAGAACAGAGTATCTTGGAGAGTTCTGGTCGGCGGTCTATGCTCCATGAGGGGTTGGCATGACAATATGTCAGATTAACCGGAGCTAAGAATGTATATTGTAAAAGTAGTGGTCTGTAAGCGTTTGATAAGAGGTCAGAAGGTCCTGGGTTCGGTCGTTGGGGTGTTTGTGAATAATCTCTGTAGAGGAGTATTATATTATCGCAGAAGAGCAGTCCAATGATTCTTTCTTTTGAATAGTTGTCTAGCTAAGATTAGCCTTTGATGTAAAACTACAATAGTATCCGCATAGTTTTTCTCATAAATTAGAAGATATCCCATGGAGTCAGTGTATTCTGAGATGCATTTTAATTTACCTGGTCCTGGAATATAAGTTGTCTGTTGTGGAGAATCAAACAGTCTCCCACTAGATGATTTGAATGCCGCCATACTAACCCTTGATCTGGAATTTTTTTCTAGTTTCTATTAAAATTAATGAATAAATATACACATATTTCGAACATCATATAATTTACATGATTAAAAATACAGTTTATTGAAAAAGAATACTTTTTTGGCGACGTCATCATTACCATTACCATTACGTATCATCAAACAATCATAGTTAATTTTCCATGAAAATGGACCTTATCTTTCGTTCCGATAAGTGTTTCAAAAAGAAGTAATAAAGTAAATATTTTCATCTTGATTTCGAACTTTAAATAACACTCAAGTGAATAATCATTTTCGAGCTGATAGAAGCACAGAATGTGTTCGGATTTCAGAATTCCTATATATAAGTGTTCAACCACTATGTTGAATGAATAAAAATAAATGTTTCAAAATTATCCACACTAATAAATAACTGCGCCTGAGGGGAGTACAGTTCGCTAACTTAAGCACTGTCGAGACGTTGGTAATTCATCTTTTCAAACCAGAACTTTGTGTGTGAACGTAACATGTGGAAACTCTCAGTCTAACAAGGTCCTGACAATTATTTTTCATACTCGATAAATAAAATGTCACTACTTATTTCTAATTATTTCGAATTATTTGTTATTATCACCTTTACGTTTCTTTTCAGATATTTTCTTCACCTTTTTTATATTGACTAAATCGACAATTATCCTGAAGTGATTAAAGTTACACATAGAAATTATTGGATACCGGCTCAGTTGTTTAAAAGTTTATTGTTCTCACATGATAACTAAAGTCTTGAATTAGATTCCCGACAACAAGATCGTGGATGAACACAGCTGAGTAGTTCCACACTAGAACAAAACCCCTTCCAGTGCTTCCAGGTTTTAATGGTGATTTAGCCAGAAATAGTTCTTGATCTAAACTATGAAAGTTGTCTTTCGTACATCCTAGCTTCATCTTATCATTTTCTGACGTACCGTTCATTACGCAAGCCTCTTTCGACACCTGAAATTCTTGAACTCTTCATCACGTGATCAATCCTCCTGTTTTGGGATAGATTATTTATTAATTACCCATGAATATGATTATCCGCCTTAAGTAGGTGATTTGGTCGAAAAGAGTTTCTTTTCCTGAATTGTCATAAATAATTAGCAAACAAATTCACTTTGGTGTTATAAACCAATAAGTATGAAGATGAAATCAGAATAGCCTTTGTTAACAGTATATGTAATAATAGGAGTATAAAGGTGCATGATATTGTACATAAATCAGGGATTATGCAGATTTATTCATTTCTTATTTATCATCAGTATCGGGGGAATATTGTTTAGGAAAAACCAGTGTATAACTAGTGTGTAAAAACGACGGTTGATAAATAGTGGAAAGTATGGCATATTGTAGAAGAAACATATTAAATTAGATAATTATTACTCCCTTCACAGCAAATTTACAGCATTGAAGTTTGTAGATTGTTGGTAACTTGATCAGTGAAATCCTCATTAACCAGCTATCTATACCTATTAAAGAGTATTTAGTAACTGAAAAGTTCTAAATGACCAACATACCACAAACTAACACCATGAACAATCAAACTTGAAATTATTTTATCTAGAATGATCAAGCTTCTCTGAATTACTCCTGTATAATAGCCTAAGAAGAATGTGAAATTGTCTGCAGAAGAAAATAAAAGTTATATTTTATTCCGGTCTGCAGACGTAAATTAGTTATAATCCTTTAAAACCAAACTTTCATTTAATATGCGTTCGTCAGTGGATACAGTTCTAAACTTTTATCAACTGAAGAAGCTGAGGTTCACGGCACATTTTTCATTCATCCCGAAATGCAGTTCTGACTGGAATGGTATTAGGGTGTAAAAACGCTTAAATTGAGTAGAATGAACGCAACGCTATTCCATAATTAGAAATATCAATTAACTGTTTAATCCCTGCGCCATTTTCTTTACTCTTAGCCACTTTGTGGTCCGACTGTTTCACATAAAAGTGTGATTTAACTGTTAATAATCTCCATGCGAAACGTTTAGATACGATTACAATTTTCCTTAGTTTTTCAAATTTCTGTTATTTTTCTCCAATGATCGACTTACATTCGAATGATCTCATTTTGGATGACCAAGAACTTCTTTAGATCAGTAAATTAATATTTCCTAGTTATTGATCTTCTGTTACGGAGTTCCATACTGGAACTCCAACCTGCCTAATTTAGTTCATATAATCAGATGCTGCAGCTTCATCCTTTGAAGTTGTGAATTTCACAGTTAAAGAGGACAATATAAACTACGAGTAAATAAATCCCCAGGTATTTTAGATAAGCATATTATACAGGCAGGGTTTCGCTGATTTAAGTATCTAGATACACAGTCACTGTTACTGTTATTGATATTTAACAGAACAATCATATTTGCGACATTTCTATCCGTCAAGCGAATGTCTTTTTAATTCTAATCATATACCTGTTGTTCACTGGGTTATTAAGAGTGATGTTATCTATATAAGTCAGTATTTCGCTAAGCGTTTACTAGGAATACATTGTGTTGAAGGCTCATTTTATAACAGTTAATGGATATTTTACTGTTTGGTACCTTGTGAATCAAAGTTCATTGTTTATGAAATCTCACTGGATAAACCATGTGCTTATTAATAAATACAGAACATTTAGACTTGAGGATATGGATGAAAAGTTTTCGAATAAAGTACATTGTGCAAAAACCTACTGACGCTACTCACTTGATAATCGCAAGGTGCTGGGATATGTTGGTTTTGTTGATATTGGTCACATTTAACAGCGATGTTACTTTGAAACGCTCTTGAACAAGGGGCACGATTGAAATCTTGTCTATTTTTAATTTTCCAAATTGATAAATTGTATGCATTTGGTGCTGGCGATTTGAAGCTAAGGTTAAGTCTTCTCTAATAAAAGAAACGAATGTTTCTTTTCATACACTGTCTAGTTACTACTAAGTATTCATTTCACTCGATAATTTCGGTCATGGTGTAGTATAAAAAAATAAAAATTGAACAAAAATCTCAGGTCTGCATTTTCTTCGATAATGAGTGACCTATAAATGCCCTTATTCTATACCTTTAAAAATATTTGGAGTGGATTTTGATGGTCTCTTTTGTTTGGTAATAATGTTTGTACCAATTTGCTTTATCGATAAGAAGTATTCACTAGTCTGCTTGGTTATAAAAAAACTTTCTGGCGACTTCACACACAAACGGCTATCATCAAGTCACTATTCTGTGAGCTACTGAAACCATTTAAATGGTCAGGTTGAAATTAGCATGATTGTTAATTTTAATTATTATTAGCCTATCTGAGAGTTTGAAGCCAAATGTTGTCATAAGCAATCTAATAATTGCTATATGTTTAGTCGTGTGTTGAGAAAGATACCCTGAAGATTACTTCAGTTTCAACCAAAATGTCTGTAAAACATTAAAAGATGAACGTTGATGAGGATAATTTATTTACGCAACTAAATTATCAGAAAGAAATACAGGTTTTTTTGTCTGGAAAAGACCATATTATGATCACAACCTAAAGTATGGGTGGCAAATGAAATATATTTTGGGGCTTTTTGTGTATAAAATCATCTTATAACACATGACGTAATGAGCACACTTTATATTAAGAGTGAAATATATTGACAGAATCCAAAGATTACGATATAACCTCCTTTTTGTGAGATAGATTCAGTAAACCAGCGAGTTGATAAGTTTGGTGAAATATGAGAATATCCAGTCTCATTTTGAAACTGTCCTTAACGTAATGTATTATCTTTAAAGTATAGAACTGGACTCTAAGCGGAATAATATTTCGAAACATCTGGTATCACTAGTTGATTATCCAAAGTGTCAGCTGCTTTTATTGGCATAATTAGCCTTAGTACCGAGCGAAATCTAGTTTCTATTAATTATCTCGCAAAACATAACATCAGGTGAATACACTGCACACTTTCAAAAAAACGTAGACAATAATAAACTATTTGAGAAAACTCAACGAAAAAATTCAGAGTTAAAGTCAAAGTTCCTTTACTATTGCACTTATTTATATGATTTAATGTTGCTTTGAAACAGTTAAACAAACGAGCTGGGATATGAACAGATAGACAAACATCGAAATTAAAAACCGGCGAGAGGTTGTTTCAGTTGAATCTGACTTCGAAGATTGTAAAGTCAAAAGAATAAGAGGATAAACTAAGTTTTATGGTTGAATGGTTTAGAAATTTTTAGTCTCATAAAATTGTTGCCTGAAGAAAACATTACCACGTGGCAAAATAATGCGATTTGGGAGTTGAATTTAGTTGCCTTGGAAAGTTTGGGCATGTTTCCACGAAATTAATCTTGAAGATCAGTAGAATGATGAAACAATTTGAAATTCACCATGATAAACACCAATAATTTTACCCAACTATATGTAGTTATTTTGAAGAGTAAGTGCATGTCTGCTATCTCACTGAACGTCACTGTCGTCCAGCCCTTATTTATATTAGCAACATGAAAATTAGAGAGAACCTTAAACAGTTCAGAAGTGATACCAAGTACAAAAGAAGTAAAGGAAGAGCAGCACTCTAAAATTCACTTTACAAGTGTCAAACTTTATCCTTTAGTACTTCGGAGGAACTATGAATCACTTAGTTTCTAAGTGTTAGCCCCTTTAGCGTATCGACAGAGCAAGACTTGGGGACTTCTGGTGACGAAACATATAGATGTGATGCGCAGTTATCTGGTAAACGCAGCTGAAGCCTATAACATTAGCCATCTCTCTCGGAGAATTATTGGTATGCAAACTTCCCAATTGTTATTGAAATATGCGAATTGAAACCCAAAAAATTGTTGCCACTTTTCTTCTGAATGAATGTGGACCTCTTGGAATGAGTGAGAGACTCGACACAATTAAGGGCTGAGGAATTATGGAACTAATCCTGTGCGAATCGTCCTTTAAGTTGTGGCTGTTCTTGTTGGGTGAAATGACAAAAAACAGCCTTGTCATGTTTCACAACATAACAAGTAATCTACGTTGCCCCAACTATATTATTTCCACCGAAAACCAACAAAGCACTTAACTACGTAACCCTAAAATAACTTCTTGTTAAAAAGTGAACAAAATATTACTTTAGCTACATAATACATACTTACAGCGAGACATTGTTACATGCGATGTCTCCGGTTTCCTTTTAACCCGTTTTTATTCTATTTTCTACGATATCACTTCTGTTCATTAACTTTGACTTATTCGTCTGCTTATCTATCTACTTATTTCGTTCTTAAATTTTGTCCACTTTCTACTCCTCCTCATCCTTAAGGACCCCATCATGATGTTTTAATACAAAAAATTACACGTTCGTTCGCTGATGAGATAGGTGATGGTTCCAGTTAATCCAATCCTTTGGAATAACTGAGGTCATATACATAATAAATGTAATTCCCCTAATAACTGGAAAATTAACCTAGATTGTTCCAACCAAGTGGATAGGTTGAACATTTAAGTTCAGTGGAAGGCCTGGAACCATTTCTTACTACAAAGTTCAGATAACGTAGAAACCAATTCATTTATACTAGCTTGTAACAAAGAATGTTCAATTGATAATACTGTTATAATTCGCTTGAGATTTTACACAAATGATCTTAGAGACGCAAAAGAACGGAAGTTTACGTTTTCCCATCCCGAAATTTCTGAGACATGTTGTATTGTAATATATACAGAAAATGAATGAAAAGGTCGGCGAGACTAAAGAACATGGACGAGCCAATCAGAAGTTTTCGCGGGTTTTCAAGATCACGGCGGTAATTTCGGAACATGATGCTTACGTACGATTGATTTACAGCGGATTTTCGAGAAGACGTGATAATTGAGCGACTACAAGTATAGGGATTATTAAGAAGCTCCTATACTTGTGACTGCAGTAGTCAAATGACCATTGTACGGTGTGCAGACTATCGTGATTATATTATCTATCGATGTTCTTCATGATGGAAGAAGAAATCAGCTTGAACAGGGACTTTTTTCGCTCGGTCAAAATTAAGGTTGAGACAAATTATGATACTTGTTGCGAATTGGATAATAAAAGCACCGGTAACACTAGCTGCCACCTTTGACGATGTAAGCGAAGTTTCGGCAGTTCAATGGTACGAGTTTTGCCGAGATATTTGTGCAACGAAACTGACAAGCGTACAGCAATTGTATGGAGGAGTGGGGAACATTGTTGAAATAGACGAAACGGTTGTAAGGAAACGTAAATACAACCGTGGCCCTTGTATTAATGAAGATTGGGTAAGTACCTCTTCCATAAATATACCTCACAGGTCCTTGGAATATATGATAGATCATTACAAAAAGGACATTTTCAAAGAGTCAGGAACCGGCAGGCACCAAAAATCATACCGATTATACAGCGATATGTGCTGCCGGGCACTACTGCTTATACAGATGATTGGAGAGCGTACAGGTGTCTAGGTAGACTGGGATATGTGCATGAAGTCGTTATACATAAGCGCCATTTCGTTGACCCTACTACTGGGGAGCACACTAACAACATAGAAGCTATGTGGTCAAGACTGAAAGAGTTTTTGAGACCCTATCATGACTCCGGATGCAGACTACTGTGGAGCCATATGAATGAATTCATTTACCGCATGCAATATGATTTTAGAACTTCTGAACCTATATCCAACCTTGATAAGTTTTTAACTCATGTAAGAGAACAGTATCCACTTTAATTCTTTGGTTTTGTATAATAAATTTTTACTTTACACTAACTGTCTTCTGATTGACATTTAAGATTCGTTCAAAGGTCGTTCATGTTCTTTAGTCTCGCCGCTGAATTCAGTCAAATTAGTTGTAAACTGATATTATATCATATATATATCACATAACATAGATAATTACCCCTGGGACTGGACCAAACGAACCGTACTTTGAACCGGTTTTGTGTGTCATAATTTTACAACTTTCTGCTGTAATATATAATGATGAATGTCAGTTGAACTCAATTATTTAAAAGTGGGCAAGGTCGTTGCCATGCCAGATGTCCAACTTCAGTAATAAGGATAGTAGGTTGATGAACCTGTGTTAATCCCGACAGATTTCCTTCCAGTGAAGGTCTAGCTTCTTTTTGAAAATGTTCACTGATGGTGCTGATACCATTTGTTCTGGTAAAGCGTTCCAGTCATTGACCACTCGATGAGAAAAACGGGATCCCGCCTTTAGTTTATTAGATCGCGGTTTCAGAACCTTCTTGCTATGACCCCGGAGATTATTAGTGCTGGAGGGAGCAAAAAGATAAGACATATTAACACCCAGATCATAATTAAAGATGCCAGTATAAGGTCACCTCGCGTCCTACGATAAGATAAGGGGAAAAGGTTTAGACGTTTCAAACGCTCATCGTAAGGGAGTTTAGAAAGACCCTTCACTAATTTTGTCCCTACACGCTGGACACGCTCAAGCGATTTAGTATCCTTTATCAGACAAGGGCTAGCTGCTTGGATACAGTATTCTAAGTGTGGCCTTACATAGGTGGGATATAAAATTCGAAACTTATTCTCGTCAAAGCATTTAAATGCTCTGCGAAGCGACCATAGCGCGCGAAAGCCTTTGGAAGCAACCGAATTACAGTGCGTAGTAGTTTTTAAGTCGTGACTTATAATTACTCCTAAGTCTTTGTGCTCATGAACGCGTGGCAGAGATGTACCATTAATGGTATAATGGTAACTAATATCGTGCCCGATGTGCATGAACACGCTTTTCCTGGAACTAACTTCCAGGCCCCAATCATCAGCCCACCTAACAAATTCGTCTAAATCTGCTTGCAGATAACAACGATCAGTCTCATTTCTTATTGTTCTCCAGATTTTAACATCATCCGCAAACAATAACGCTGACGGCTTAAGTAATAAAGGTAGTTCATTAATATACAGAAGGAAAAGTAAAGGGCCTAAGATGGTGCCTTGGGGTACACCACTTTTGACCGGTTTCCATTCGGATAGAGTTCCATTGACCCTCACTCTCTGTCTGCGGTCACATAAGAAGCTTCTTATCCATTCCTGTATAGCACTTGTTATACCAAAGCTCGAGAGCTTTTGCATAAGACCTGAGTGTGAAACCTTATCAAACGCTTTGCTAAAATCTATGAATATCACGTCGACAGACTGGCCGTTGTCTAGGGCAGCTGTCCAATCCTCTCTCGCAATGAGTAAGTTAGTCAAGCATGAATGCTTGTTACGAAACCCATGTTGCTCAGGAGTTAACAGATTGTACGAATCTATGTGGCTCAGTAGCTTAGCCCGAATTAATTTTTCAAGTAACTTAACTACTATACTGGTCAGGCTAACAGGCCGGTAGTTGGATACGATCCGTCTCTGACCATCCTTAAATGTAGGACTAACTATGGTGTCTCTCCAGTCTCTAGGTAGTTGAGCCTGTGAAAGGGACATGTTGAAGAGCATCGTGAGCGGTCTTGAGATAATGTCCGCAAGCGACGACAGCAAACGTGGGTGTAACCCATCGGGGCACGGTATCTTGCAAGGTTTTAGGTTAGTTATCAAAGGAAGAACAATATCCTCTGTCACGTGTAAAGGTCCTATGGCTGGTATCTCATTGTCAACGGGACAAGTAGTTGTAACACTACACGTAGAGTAGACTTCACTGAAATAGTTTGCAAATGTCTCCGCTTTCGCTAGATCAGATTCAGCCAATAAAGCTGAATTTTCGCCTAGCAGTAATGAGGGGATACCATCACTACGTTTCGTCCGCCTTTTAACGTACGAAAACAGTCGCTCCGGACAGGTACGGCTATCGTATGTCAACTGTCGTTCGTAAGCCGTGCGGGATTTAGCTATGGTCTTTTTACATATATTCCGGATTTTTTTATATTCGCACTTAAATGATGCCTAACCTGTTGACAAGAATAAGTCCCAGAAGTGTTTCCTACGCTTCAACAGTTTCCGGGTTTCCTTATTAATCCATGGAGGGCAATATGATAGCTTACGTGCTGACCATGGGATAAACTGTTGAGTTACGGATTCGAACGTAGACTTAAACCTATTCCATGCATCATCAATCGATCCATCAGCATCGACCGACCAGTCAATTGAGATAGCATAGTCCCTTATTGCCGGAATATTAGCTCTCCAGATATTAGGACGGGGTGGAGCAGATGCGAATTCTATACTATGCATCCGGAACTTAAAGGAAAGTACGACATGGTAACTATTCACCAGTGGGGGAAGGTGTTGAATGTCGACGATATCTTCACAGTGGTGTGTGAGGGCGAGGTCTATCAATGACGGATTATGTTTCAAGTCTATATGCGTCGGCTAAACGATACATTGTACAAGTGCACATTGAATAATTGATGACAGAAGGACGCTATCGAAACCCCCACCTGGAGCTGTGAGCTCTATCCAGTTTATATGGGGTGCATTGAAGTCTCCAACGATGAGACAAGATTCTGCCTTACTCCAAGAACAGACGTGTCTTAGGATAAAGTCGTCAGCGAGACAATACGGACTACGATATATTCCTCCTATCGTCACTAACCCGTTTCTAGACCTAATTGTACAACATACTACCTCACACGTACCACTTACATGCGCCTCCGATATGATCGAGTTAATGCGGAAGTGGTCCCTAATATATAATATTATGCCTCCTCCCTTGCGACTTCTAACTCTATCACTTCTGACACAGATGTAGCCTGAAATGACTGGAGAACAGTCTATATCTACAGGGAGCCAAGTTTCGGTGATAACAATTATATCCGGATTTAAGTCGTCTACCATCAAACTTAGTTCAAACATCTTATTCCGAAGACTACGGGCATTCGTATAACACACATTTAGGGTGTTTTTGAAGAGACATGCGTTCTACCCACACAGGTCTCGGAAGCATTGGCTTCCAAGACCTGACTACCCGAAAACCCTTAATCGTAAGGTTAGCTTCACCGTTTAGCCTTCGAGTTTTTAACTCTGTTAGGGCATTCTTCCACTTGATCCGATCCTCAAGTGTCCAGTCACGAGTTTTGCGTGCGTTATTTAGTAATACATCCCTTTCCTCAAAATTACCGAGTACTAATTTAAGGATCCTTCTCTGTTGGGTTTCGCCTCCAACATACTTACCAAGTCTGATGACTTTCGAGATATGTACCCCTGGGACCTCCTCTGGCAGTATATTTCTGATGAGAGATCCCACTAACTGCAGGTCGTGGGCATGTCTCTTAGCGGGATCGGTGTCTTTCGATTCTGCCAAGTTCCAGATGATTACACTAGGCACCTTTTTAACTTCAATCGTGAAAATAGATAATAGGTAAACTGTTCCCAATATTCAGTATCTTTGTTACGAGCTTGTATAAACCGACTGATCTCTTTCGCTCCCGCTTGTTGTTTCGATAAGTATTCATTTCTTAAGTAATGCTTAAATGACATTTGTTTTGTAACTGTAAATGATTCCCCAAAATCAATCGCTCATTAAGTGTTCGACATTGAATGCTGACCACGTTGTTTAAGTGGACTTGTTTAACTGAAGGCTTTCGGTCATGCATCCGTACCAGATCACGTTGCAACTCGGCGTGGGACACAGCTCCTACGTTTCAATAGTCAGTTAATAACGAACGCCTCTCGATATATTGGTAACGTATCAAATATATCCTTCCTACCTCTTCTCGTCTGACTTCTGATTTCCTTTGGCCGGGATCGATCGAATATAGAAGGTATTACTGGTCGCTAGTTGTTAAACTAGAATACTAGTCGTATCCTCAGTTTGGTTAGTCGGCTGCACTAGTTCTAGTCAGTTTGGTAGTTATTTATGCGTTTCTGTATTTTTATAGAATGAGTGGATGAATATGAGTGACCTACAGAAATGTTCGGTGGAGATAGTTAATCGGCTTTTAAGTTTTAAAAGTGAGTGGTTGTTTAGAGTTGAAAATAATGTTGCAGTAGTAAATAAATCCTCAAGATAAATACTTCTGTAAGTCACCGACATTTAGTGCTGACCTCATTAGTTTTATTGAACATTCATAGTTGAAGGCCCTCAGTAGCGTCTCTGTACTACATCACCAGTGGGTACGTCGAGCTACATATCCCTTGCAACTGCCAGTCAGCTTAGACCAAATTCTTCTCGACATATTGATAGCCTTCAAAATACATCTCCGAATCCTTTAACTTCTAACTTCGGATTTAACTAGGCTGGTATTCTTCGATTATAAAGGTGTGACGTTTAAATGAGTTATCAAACTCCAAACAACTGTAACATCTTTACTGGTGAGCCCAAAGTGATCTTGTATTCTAGACAATAAGCTATCTGTACTTTATTAGAACATTAAATATCATTTCTTAGTTTCTGATTTTACATATAGTGCTATCGTTTTTATACCTTTGAATATTTTTGTCTCGCCCGTTTATAGATCTCATCTTAATGATGAAGTAACAGACACCCATGTTACTTAAGGTCAAGACTCTTTCCCCTTCCACCTTTCAACTCATTCCATTCTATCCCGGAAATATAGAAGCCTCGTTCTGCCACACTGAAGCTGACTCCCACGGGTAGATTATAACAAACCCATGTATACAATTCTCCGCGGTAATGAAGGCACTGCGGCGCAACGTTAGCATGTACGCCACACCCAGTATGTTTGCTGGTGATATTTCTGAACTTTACAGCACTTTGAAGAAGACTATCCTTAAACGTTGAGACCTAACCGAACGATAAAGGTTTGACCAATCCTTCCACAACATCGAGCTGCAACATGGCGCAGGAGCAGATATATTACTACGTGTGCGAGACTTTACTGATCAGCAGACCCCCGATGAAAGCCCGTTTTGACAGTTCTTCTTGTCCAGAATTCTCCAACAGGTGTTGGCGGTTAAAAGTCACATTGTGAACGAATCGGCTGCATATCTCAACTGGATTCTGGAGGTCGTCAGGACTCCCAGCACCAAAGT